GTATACGGTATGTGCCTGAATTATGTAATTTTGTACATGAGGTAATAGGAATCTATAGTTAGGTTTGAAATTGCCCTTACATGTTATTTTTTATTTAAAATATTTTGTTGGACAAATGTATTTTGAAATCTTTGTACAGTGGTCCCTCGGTTAACGAGCACAATCTGTTCCAGCAGGTTGCTCGTTAACCGAAACCATTGTTTCAATGGGTTTTTGGGTAATTGGTTCCAGCTCACCAAAAATTTCCTAAATTCAACAAAAAAGGTAGAAAAGTACACTTACTTTGAGGTGTGTATGTAGAAGGCTCCTGGATGATGATGATGGGAATTAGAATGGGGGTGGAGGAGAAGGGAGAAGAGAAGGCATTGGGGTGGAAGAGAAGTCACCCCATGGCACCATTTCACCCATAAAATTTTAGTTCTCTTGGTGTAATTCAAGATTATTTTCTTTAAATCAACACTGCACTGCATTATATATTTTCAATATGTAAAATAAATTTCAAAATGACCAATAATTTGCTTGGAAACACACAAAAAAACCATTTAGTTGAAGAGAGTCTCAAGCAAAATGTTACCTCCACTGAAAACAGAGAGAGATTAACGCCTGTCTGGTGTGTTAACAGGCTGGATGGCACGCCAGAAACTAGTTTCTTTACCTTCAATTATGTTCAATAATTGTTGAAATTACTAAAAAAGTTAATACAGGTTGACAAACCTTTATCCAAAATTCCGAATACCAAAAAGCTCTGAAAACCGAAAGTTTTTTGTGGAGCATATTTTTTTTTTTTTTTTTTTAAAGGGATTAGCCCACCCAGGCATAGATCACTGACCCACATCGGGGCCTGGGGGGTGAAAATGTAATGGTAATACTAATTATAATTATAATAATAATAATAATAATAATAATAATAATAATAATAATAATTATTATTATTATTATTCATAGTAAATAAAAATTTTAATTACAAAATACACCAAAATAAAATAATAATGGTAACAATAATACTGTATTAATAAAATAATAATAATAATAATAATAATAATAAAGAAATACAAGAATGAAAAAAGATAAAAAGTGAGAAACACGACCTAGACCTATGAATTATTATTATTACCTGTATTATCATTATTATTATAATTATTATTATATTTTCGCCCCCCTCCAGGTCCCAATGTGGGTCAGTGACTTGTGCCCGGATGGGCTAATAAAAAAAAACCCTAACCATTCTGAATACCGAAAAATTCCAAAATCCGAAATGCCTCTGGTCCCAAGGATTTCGGATAAGGGATTGTCAACCTGTAAAAAACTTTTAAAATTATTGAATAGTATAAACTTCTTCATATTTACTAAAATAGTAAGGAATTTAAGCCCTAAAACCGATTACTGTATTGGCGGACTAATACTACAGCTGGTGGACCGCCAAATGCAAGCAAAAACACGTTGAAGTCGGCTCGTAAAAAACTCGTTAATCGAGGGATTGCTCGTTAACCGAAGTTAAGAATCCTAAGGAAGGTGAATCGTTAACCGAAATCTCGTTAACCGAGGCGCTCGTTAACCGAGGGATCACTGTATATATTTACCATGTATTTATACTTTTTTCAATAAACTACTAACTAACTACCGCAGGCAAGGCTGTGGGCTTGTAACACTCGTCTTGCCCGCGGTGCCCACTGTTTCTCTGTGCATGTCGGTCACACTAGAATAACCCACTATAGTACATCCTTCTTTCCTCACACAGCTAAACTGTGGAATGCTCTGCCTTTTTCTGTTTTTCCATACTCATACAATGTCTCACTTTAACAAGCTGGTTTTCCAGCATCTTCGTGGTGTAGTTATATAATGTTCTTCTTTTCTATTCTTAATTTCTTTTTACTCTTATTTTTTTTGCCCCCTAGTCCCCATTGTAGGTCGATGACCTGTGCCCAGGTGGGCTATTCCCAGGAGGAAAATAAATAAATAAATAAAATAAAATAAAATAAATAAAAAATAATAATAATTTCACCACAACTTCAGCTAAATGAAACAAGTGGAATCACAATATTTACCTCATCAATCCAGTGACAAGGCACAACCTTCCCACCACATACATTTTGAGTATTTTCAATACATATAAGTGTGGTTCTTGGGCAGTGTACATCTTCAACACGCAACCTTGCTGATATCTCATTAACATCAAATGTTCCATTTGGTTCAGTGGGGATGATGTGAGGCTGTATACCACCAAGCTGGAAAAACACAAGAACATAGTGCTGTATCCTTCCAAGAATGTTGATCAAGTCATGGCGTGTTTGTCTGCAACAGCCAAGAACTACCAAATTCTTTGTATCCGTGTGTAATATAATTATGAAGTCAATTCATTCAATAGGTTTCAATTAAAAAAATCTGCAATTAATTTACAAATCACTGCAGATTAAAATCATGTGGCATTTTGTCCAGTATTAACTTAGAAAAATTTCACTACAGGCTTCAGCTCAAGAACAAATACACCATTATTTTCTGATATTTTTTACTGTTATAGGCCCTTTCCTGCTGCAGCACAGAGTAACTAAAATCATAACCAATACAGAATCTCATTCACTTACTGTCATTCATTATTTCTCACTGCCTTACTTAACATAAAAATTGCCTAAGAATTCTTCTTTTTCTAATTATACAACTTCTCTACAGTGTGCTGCCTCAAATACACTACAGTATCTACTGTACAGTCAATAACACTCCTGCAACCTTAAATACCATCACCATCACTATTTTTCACATAGGACTGAACAACCATGATTACAAAATTATTATTGTCACAACAATTCCTTACACGATCCCTAAGCTAATGTTATTATAAATGTTCCTTTATCATACTTCACAATTCAACCAGCAATGTGTCAACTACACACAGTAACCCTTCCACAGAGCTAAAATACAAGTTAAAAAAAACTTTAAGTCTATCCTGAATTAAACAGTTGCACATGTACAGTCACATACACATGTATTGTAACCTAAGACTATACCAACTCTGAAGAACTGACCTGAGCCATACCAGCCTGTTCATAGAGGAAGATGTGTGCTTGATCACCCAGTAGTACTTCTGATCCTCGATGCTCACAGTGGCCTAATACTGCAGCATTTGGATAAATGAAAGAGAAAGTTGGTCCCACAGTCATGTCTACCCATTAGGAACAGTGTGGATACAGCACAATGTATGCCTTAGGTATACAAGGTGGCAGCATGGCCAGATCTGCACTCAACCACCTTTAATTCCCCAATTTGTACAGTATACTGTAATAAGATGCCCCAGGATTGAACCAGTGACTTTAAGGACAGGTGAGCACTATATCCACCAACCTGCAGCACCCTATCTGGGTAAATACAACCTACTTCTCTGATCCCCTTGCCAAACTATACATTACATTGAAATTATTTGACTATAATCTCATTACTTTAAAATGCAGTAGAGTGCTTATTTATATTTCCCTTTCATAGGAATGTAGAAAACAATTGAAATTTTAATTAGTCAATTAAAAATATTCAGTCACATCAACAAGTACAGTGTATAGCCATAAGAAGGGGAGCTCAATAAAAAGCAGACCTTGAACCTAACCAAAGCTACCCTATCCCTGACACAATCTAAGCAAACCAATAGCATTAGTAGAAAAATCTGGGCCAGGTTCCAGGTCCACATTAGACTGGCCTCAAGGAGGAACTGTAGATCTACTTAGGATTCTGGTTGTGGCTGTTTTTATGCAAAACTTTGTTCAAGAATTATAGTCAAACTGTACAGTACTGTACTTCCTATTTGGCAGTTACAAAGAGCATCAGTCATCCAGATTCTATACGTTTTGTACGTTCTATCAAGCTGCCCTCCACCCTGTGTGCTTTGCTATGCAACAGATATACAGTAATCCTTCTCCCTCCCAAGGTGTTCTTCCCATCTATAGGTACAGTACAGTAAAAGTACACTCCCTTCCTGTGTGCTCTACTGCACTAAAAGCCCTCATACCATGTGTGTGTCTAACTCCAAACCATACAAAAATAAAGTGCCCCCTTAATCTTGATATACAACTTAACTCAAGCAAATGGAACACTCATACTACAGGTATTCATAATATAATTAACTTTCTGATAAATTAAATACTTTTTTATCTCTAATCTATTTTGTGTAGGCAAGCACTAACAGCAGGTTAAAGCATGCAATTTGTCTTTGCTACTGATTTCTTTTTCTATAATAATAAATTACCACAAATAAGGTTTCCCATAGTGCCTGATGGTACAAACAGGGCCGAGTCCTTTCCCGTACAAGCTGCCATACAATTCTCCAGCTCTATGAAAATGAGAAAAAATATCCTTAGAAGAAAAACTATAATTAAGAATTAGGTCATATTCACATGCGTTCATTCACGTGATGTTTGAAGATGAAAGTAAGAGCCGAGACTTGTCTGTTAATAACATGTTCAGTACTCAATACAGTCAACCCTCACTTTACGCGGTCCCACATTCCGCGTTTCCACGTTTACGCGGTACCCTGCCGGAAACCAGGATGCTCACATTCCGCGGTCGTGTACCCCTTTACTCGGAGAGTGTCCAACTCGACGCTATTTTTAGATTCGCCCCACCCGCCTGCTCCCGCCTCCGCCTGGGCAAGCCGCGCGGTAAGGTTGCGCAGTGCATGTCTCTGTTGCGTTATCAGTGACGTCATATGAAGTATCGGACTGTGATTGGCCATGCATCCCTACCTCCCTCCGCTGCTAGCTGTAATTGGTTTAAAGTAATATGATGTGTCCACCCAGGGGAGGGAGGGCGGGAGGAAAGACGACTCTTGACCTAGCCGCGGCAGTTTCATCCCTCCAGGCCACACCGCCCTAAGCCCAAGAAGACACGACGTTCCTTGAGCTACGAGGTGAAGTACAAGATCATCCAAGAGTTAGAGAAAGGAACAAGACAGGTTGATTTGGCGCGCCAACATGGTGCGAACGAATCTACGATCCGGACGATAAAGAAGGATGCAGCCAAGATAAAGGAGCACATGAAGATCACAAAGTCTACAGGTGCTTCTATGATCAAGTATTTCCACAACCAGGTGCTTCTCAAGACGGAAAAATTACTTGTGAGCTACTTGGTGCGTCAGGCGCGACGGAACATGGCGGTCGACACGCGCTCTGTTAAGGAGTACGCACGTGAACTGTATGCTGCAGTGTCACGAAAGATGGGAATTACAGAGCCCAAACCCTTTAATGCTTCCTCTGGGTGGTTACAGAGGTTTAAGATGCAGAACAAGATCACCAATATAAACATTGGTGGTGAAGAAGCTAGTGCTGACCGTGCTGCGGCTAGGGAATTTCCTCCGTTTTTAAGTGAGATTATGGAGGAAGGACAGTACACCGACGACCAGGTGTTTAACATGGACGAATCTGGTCTTTTTTGGAAAAAGCTACCTTCCAAGACCTTCGTTGTGAAGAATGCCAGCAATATTCGGGGCCAGAAGATGCAGAAGGAGCGCATCACCGTCCTGTTTACCACCAATGCCTCTGGTACCTGTAAGCTCAAGTTATCGGTGATCCACACAGCCCGCAAGCCGCACGCCTACAAGAGCATGGACATGACCAAGCTAAATGTCCACTGGCTGACCGCACGTAAGGCGTGGATGTTCTCTACACTGTCCCTCTCCCGGTTTGATGACTTTCATTCCCGATGTAAAGAAATTCTGTGAGCAACAGAATGTGCCATTCAAGATTTTGTTGCTGCTGGACAACTCACCAGGACACTCGCCCCTACTGTTAGATCGTCACCCCAACGTAAAAGTGGTCTTCCTTCCTCCCTACACTACGTCTATATTACAGCCCATGGACCAAGAGTTAATCTGTAATGTAAAAGCTGCATTCTCAACAAAAAAATTCAAGCTCCTGAATGACTACACCAACACCAGGGAAGAGTTGCGTAACCTGAGTGACACCACCACCGATAGCAAGAGCGAAGACGACGAGGATCAACAGTTGGCAGAGCAAAAAATACTTTTCAAACAAATCTGGAGAATATTCAACATCAAGAAAGCTGTGGACTTCTTGGTGGAGGCATGGGATCAGCTGTCTGTAGCAACTGTTCGTCACGCATGGAGACATGTGTTGCAAGGCATTCCGGGCGTAAGGCAGAGTCAATCTGTGACTGGTGAGGTTCAGACTGTTGCAGTAGCAGTGGACCTTGCCAGAGAAGCTGCGCAGTGTTACAGCTGCAGGCTTCTCCAAGACCACCAACGACGACATCCTGGAGGTGATAAGGGATCCTGATGTGACTACCGACGAGATGGTAGATGATGATGACGTCAGTGAAGAGGCAGGTGGTGCGTCATCCCAAGAAGAACACCGCTTATCCCATAGTAATGTTAGGGGTGCCATCGAGTGTGTTGAGAAAATCAAGCTCCTCCTTTCCGACGACCCTGACGCAAACAGGTATGAAATCTTCACTACCCAGCTGTTGCAGACTATGGAGCCCTACTTCAAGGTTTATCACGACAACATAAACACCAGCCGTCAGCAAAGCATAACAGAGTTCTTCGCCCGCAACCCACCACAGCCAGCCCAAGCCAGTGATATTGACAGAGGTAGAGACAGTGAAGATGACTTTGAGGGATTTGTCAGGGAGGCCCTGACAAGTGTGGATGACAGTGATGGTGACTCACCTGAGAGCCAGTAGCCTGCCCTCTGCCTCGGAACCAGCCTCCATCCCCGTATGCCGATCCATCTCTTCTACTAACGTAAGTGTTCAACCTAACTTTTAGTTTTCCTAACCTAACCTTTATTTTTCCTAACTTAACCTTTATTTTTCCTAACCTAACCTCTTCTATATTAATTGTTTGTGCATACCATCATAAAGTTAAGATAAAATTTTTACTACAACATAGTTGTGTGTGGTCAAAAAGTGGAGTTTGGGGGTCGGCCCGGTCTCTATTTCAATTAATCCCATATGTTATGTTGTTCACTTTACGCGTTTCTCACTTTCCGCGGTACCCTGTGGGTTATATTAACCGTGTAAAGTGAGTGTTGACTGTACAACTTTAACCCCATGACCACAATGTCATCTAAAATAAAAGGATAAGTCACTGTACCAATATTTAATGGGTTAACTCATTCTATTCAAGCATTTAGCATCATACTTAAGGAATGGAAAAATTCATTAGCTGCTGAATGGTAAGAATCAGAGGATCAACATACGTCCAGCCACCCTGCTTCATATAAAGACATATAAAGAGAGTAATGTTTATACCTGACACTGTTGGATCTTCACGATAGACATCATCCCCAAGTAGTGCATCCATCATGGCCTTCTTCATGCCGGGACTGGGTTTAGTTAAGGTGTCAGAACGCAAATCTACAACATGCCCCTGGAAAAATATACATATGAAACTTATCATTAATACAGTAAGTTTATATAATACAGAGGCATTAAGCCTTTGTAGAAAACACAAACCTAAGCATTGTACACTCGCAACAAAAAGTATCGGTGCATACTGTAGTGTGAACAATTTGAGACCAGTGACGATAGGTATTGGGAAAGGCGAGTTGTTCCAGCCGTATGTTGGCAGCCTTGGTCAAGTGAAACAAACCGTTATAAATAAGGTCGGGAAGTGATAAATAGACAGTATGAAATATGAGGAGCTCCCTGTTAACAAAATTATTTGTGATACTTGTGAATATTGCCACATTAATTTATGCTACCAAATAAACCACTCAACCTGGTCGTCCTGAGGGGTGGTGCAGCGTGGACGGCCGCTCCGAGACCTGTCATCTGTAGCACCAGTTTCGAGGTATCGCCGAATGAATCCATTGAATGAATCCATCATGCAGCGGTGTTCCTGTGGACACCAACCCGCCAGCTAATATCTGTGACGCCAAACCCTTCGTTATGAAGGGCAATAATAGCTCCTCGTGTTCCCTCTGAGGTTTCCATGTCGTCTGGCATGTATAGATCTCTACTGCTTCATATTGCCTCTGTTTTATACCCACGTTCACCGAGACCGAACCCTCGCTCATCATTCAGTCGACACAAAGCAACAATCCGAAAAGAGGAAACAAACACACTGATTGTCAGCCATATGGCAACACCTAGTGGAGGGGGGGGGGTTATGAGGATACACTTACCAACCTTCCCGACATATCACAGTGTATACGAATCGTTTCGGAAGTCGTCGATCTCACCCTGCACCGATACTTTTTGGTGCGAGTGTACCTGTACCTAAAATATTGTTACAGAATAATCTTTTTCATAATTACTTAAATTTGTAAATCAAATCCTTACAGGGACAGATCCAGGAATATAAAAAAAGGGGGTTCCAAGAAATTGTGGGTGGGGGAACATGGCGAGCGCAGCAAGCCCACCCAGCTGGGGGGTTTGGGGGGGTAAATATGTCATAAATCTGATCAACATCATAGGCATTTTGAAGCCATGCGCACTTGATATTAGGAGATATTCTGAAGTCAATAGTAAACACTTTTTACTACAGTATGCCCTGTACAAACATGCCTGAGTACAATACTGCATTAAGAAAAAGTACCGTATTGGAATTTTCTGGTGAAAAGAGGGGAGGACCCCCAGAACCCGCCCTTGCCTTATACATTAGAGTCTGCCTGTACAGGACTTTTTATTGCAAGCCTTTTTCAACTACAGTATGTATGTACAGTATATTTTACAATGGCTGGAGCTTATAGCAAATACAGTACACATATTCTCTTCAATTATTGTCATTCAGCCATGCTTACCACTGTAATTAAAATAGGAGAGGAAGAAGAGACAGAAAGATGAGGTTACAGTTTCCATTATGTTAAATGGCTTTAATCAAAGTTTAAAGTACTGTACATACAGTATTTGTAGTGTGCCCAATCCTACATGTACCAAGATATTTCTGTAATGGGTGCAGGCAGTCAGTGGTGAGCTGCGGTGTTAATGGCAGGTGCACCAAACCAAGCAAAGCCAAAGTTATAGTTCAAGTTCCAAGCAGTTCAAAATCTTCCATCCTTTATCTGGTCAAATACTGTACAGATATGAACAGGGATAGTGTACAGTACCGGGTATTCATATTTATATGCATTCAAATATTGTACAGAAAATTAAATTACTCATATTTGTATTTGAATACATTGCTATAAACAACTAAAGTACAAGGGCCCCCCAAATTCGTGGGGGTTAGGTTCTGAAAATGGCCACAAATCGCCAAGTCAGCAAACAACATATGCTGATATGGTGTGGGGGGAGTACATTTTTACTTGAATACAAAGAAATGTATACCGTATTCCCTTTATGTGTTTGCTCTTAGGACAATTATTTCTTTTACCTGCACACACAAAACACATACAAATAAATAATACAGGTAATGGGAAAATACTCTCACAAATAATCAGAAACAAATTTATTAAAAATGCGAGTCTACCCCCAAGTCCATGTGTCTACACACACACACACTTATATACAATAATGTACTACAGGTAAAAGAAATAATTGTCCTAAGAGCAAACACATAAAGGGAATACAGTATACATTTCTTTGTACTCAAGTAAAAATGTACCCCCCCCCTCCCCCAGTCCACAAATGTTATTCGCGGATTTGGCGATTCGGCCATTTTGAGAACCTTACTCCCGCGAATTTGGGGGACCCCTGTACTCTCACAAATAATCAGAAACAAATCTATTAAAAATATGACAGTCTACACTCAAGTCCGTGCTATATTACAGCTCCTCCCTGACTTACGATCTACTCGACTTACGACCTGCCTCAGTCGTACCAAAATTTTGTCAAATTACGTATTTTCAAGTCCCAACTTCAGTACACAGACAAAAATTTTCGTTTGTAATTCACTTTAAAATGGCTGGCAAGCTTAAAAGTGAGAGTTTTGTGGAGCTGAGAAGAAAAAGAGACTCCCATTTTAGATTTTCTATGTATTATTTAAGCATTTTCGACTTACGACCTGGATTTGGGTCCCTAACCCCGTCGTAAGTCGGGGAGGAGCTGTATTTACATTCTTATTCGGAGAAAAAAAATTGTAGTGTACTGTATTCACATTCATAAGAAATTGAAGTACTGTACAGTACTGTACTACTACAGTACTGTATTTGTATTTGAATACTGAACTCCTGTATTCACTCCATCCCTGGTTATGATTCGCGTAATCTGAATACTGTACTGTTATAGTGTATTTGACTAAATTTACTCATAATATATTACAAATTACACTGATAAGGTTAAAGCCATTGAAAAGTTTTAAACCAAAATTTCCTAGCAGCACTTTACTCACAAATTTCTTTTCAATAAATGGGGTTCACATAAACCACAAGCATTACTAAAATGGAAACAAAATTAACTTTAAATATACTATACTATACTGTGCAATACTAATACCCGTACTGTACCATGTATCTAAAGACCATTTAAAGATGTCATGAAATTGTAATAATCAGATTTAGTTTCAACTACAGTATACAGGGCATAAATTTTTAATACAAAATAGAAAAGTTTATAAATTTAATACATTCTAACACACACATTCACATGAATTATAAACAAAACCTTCATAAAATCTTGCAAATGGGTGAGCATTATTTGTACAGTATATATACCTTAAACTTATCTAGTACCGATGGAGGTGGGCGGTAAGACCTCTCCTGCTGCCAGGCTACACTCCTCCCCACCACACTTCTCACCAACTTTCTCCGTAAAAGACCATAACTTGCTGACACAACTCTAACAGAGGAGAAAATAAATTTAAAACTAAAAAATTTATAGCTATATGAGAGGTAATAAGACCTCAAGTAATACCCATACTACCAATATACCACAAAATCCCAGACATTATTCTAAATTACACATACAGTACAGTAAAGCCTCAAATAACGACGTTAATGTGTCCTCCAATATTGCAGTAAGGTGAATTGTCTTATAGCGAATCATTAATTACCATCAAAATAAAGCAATAATAATGAGATGCATTCCCAATTGTGACCTTTTCATGTCTTTTGTGTGGCTTTTTACCCTCTTTTCCCCCCAAAACAATACAATTTGTGAACATTGCAAACTATATTCTTTAAATAATGTTTCTGAATGCACCTTATACAATATACATACAGTCGACCCTCGTTAATTCGGACCCCTTTAATCCGGATTTCGGATAATTCGGACAAAATCTGAACAAACTTTTTTTTTTTTTTTTTTTAAAGATTTGTAGGAATATTACCTACGCGGACCTTAAGCTAAAATGCTGGTCCACCCACTGCTGGGATAAAACACCAGCGTCTTTTTGGTCAAATGTAACATCACCACTAGTGTGGGGGTGAGATGCAACTTTTAGCTTCAGACATGAAAAATATTTACCATTTACTGCCAGTAAGCAATGGAAACGTAAAATATGTACCAATTAGTAATGAAAAGTTGTGCAGTTCCTTCAGCAAATGAAGCTCACCAACTTACAATAGGCTAAATTACCTTACAACGTGTTTTCAGTAGTCTATGTTGAAGTTCTTAGCATAGGCTAACTTATCATATCATATACAGTATCACAGTCTCCACCTTTCAGTCACTCACCTGTGGCATCCCCCAAGGCACCAAGATGGGACCACTCTGCTTCCTTATGCTCATCAATGATGCCCTAAGAGAAACCCCTGCTCGCTGGAAATATGTCGACGACTCCACCATTGGGATCAGCGTCAACAATTCTGCTCCCAACTATACCGCCCTTCAGGATTTATTGAACAGTCTCCAAAACTGGGCCACCAACAACCATGTCACCATCAACCATACCAAGACCATGGTTATGCACATCAACCTCTCCTCCGACATCGTCCCACCTCCTTCCATTACTCTAGGTCCGAACACACTCCAGGTTGTAGATTCCACGAAGCTCCTCGGCGTCACCATAGACAACAAACTAAATTGGAAACCACACGTCAGTGAAGTTGTCAAATCCTCCAGTTTCCGTCTCCACCTCCTCCACCGACTCAAGTCCCTCGGAGTTCCTGCACACGAGCTCCTCAGTGTTTACACAACATTCATACTTCCCAAGCTCACCTATGCCTCCCCCACCTGGTCTTCCTCCCTAAATGCCACACAACGTAAACACCTAGAAAAAGTGCAAAAGAGGGCATGCAAGATTATTCTCTCCCCTTCCTACTCCACATATCAAGAAGCGCTCAACACACTGACCCTTTCGACTCTCACTGACCATCACCACGACCTCATCTGCAAATTTGGTAAGAAGCTTCTACACCATCCCCGACACCGGCTCCTACTACCACCTGAGATCCCTTGTCCGAGAATTGCTGTTCGACACCACAACCGCATCCAGCCCATACGTGCACGAACTGATCGCTATAAGAACAGCCCAGTCCCAACCATTGTAAAAATTATCAATAACTTGTAATAAATCAGTGTACTCACTCCCAGTAAACACTGCTCCTTACACTGTCACTATGTTGAAATGAACTGTAGTTTGAGCCTTTCCCAATCTAGTTATTATATGTCTTATTTGTGTCACTTATGTTACTTGTATATTATTTGTAATTCGTAACCCATTCCCCAAATATGTAACTGTATATTTTCAGCCTTCTGGCTACCAAGCTCTTTCAATAAACCATTAATTATTATTATTATTAGTACTCATTGATCTACAAAAAAATACCGGCAATAAAAACCTTTTCGATATTTCACACGTAATATAATACCCGGTAATCTACTTCAACCTCCTATTGTTTACAACGCATGACGCACCACCAGCTGTTGAGTATCAATCAGCTAGACGGTACACGTGTTTTTCGAATCGTTTTCAGTTAAAAAACTGCTACATCACACGTATATTTTACCTAAACTTCGCCTGAATGAATATATTCTCGGAAATAAATAGTAGTTCTGCTGAAACGTGATGTATTTCAATGTAAAATAGGATAAAATACATGACGAAATACAAAAGACTTTACCTATGCTTTCCATGTTCTTGAGATGTTATTCGTTTTTTTACTAGTTTTCGGTTAAAATACTGTTATATTACAATGATATTCTATTCATACTGTGCTTGATATAATACATTCACGGAAATGTAATATTTTGCGGAAATTACTTACGTATTACAGTGGAAAGTGGGATAAAATCGTGACGAAAACAATGACTTTGAAATATAATGCGATATTAATCCCTAAATCGGTTAATTCGGACAATCGGCTAAAACGGACACCCTCCCCCCCCTATTAGTCCGAATTAACGAGGGTCGACTGTATATGAATAATAATATGGTCACACAAGAGGAGATGGGTGGCCATTGTTTTTGTTTGTGTTTACAGCCGGGAGTCCGGGACGATAGTTCTACACGAGAAAATGAAGAAAATAAGACCCTGGTTATAGCTGTATCTAAATTAATTAATGTAAAACAATGACTATACAGTACAGGGTATATGTTTTAAGTAACAATCTTTAATGCTAATAAATGGAACAATAGCAGTAGCTAACCACTAATGGCAAAAAAAAAGAGATGGATTGGGAACGCCAACGTATAAGTGAGCATTTAAGGATACCGCGTCATTTATCTTTTTAAGAAATGTACAAAAGTGTCATTATCGTTTATTACTGAATATGTATTTGATTGAATTAATCTTTATATATGTGAAATGAACAATACAATTCATTAATAATACTGTACGTAGAATATTAAAACACACAAGAGGATAAGAGACGGCATTGTTGTCAGGGTTTACACCCATAATGTCACTTATCCACCTTAAACTGAAGAAAATCAGACCCTGGTTATTGTTGTAGTTAAATTAATGTAAAAAATATGTATGTTTTAATTAATGTTATTTAGTGTACAGTAGAAGTAACCAGTGATATTAAAGAAAAGTGAGACTGATAGTGGAACGCCAACGCATAAGTGCACACTGAAGGAAACATAGTCATTTATCTTAAGAATATGTACAAAAGATTCATTATTGTTTATTACTGAATATGTATTTGATTGAGTTAATGTTTATATATGTGAAATGAACAATGCAATTCATTAATAATACATAGAATATTAAAACACACACGAGACAAGACGGCATTGTTTTCGTGAGTGACGATGGTTCTACATAAGACCCTGGTTGTAGCTGTGGTGAACTTAATTTTTAAAAAATTGAATACCTGTTATGTATGTTTTAAGTAATGTTATTTAATGTTAATAAATGGAACACTGGAAGTAGCTAACCACTAATGGTAAAGAAATACAGCGAGACGATTGGGAACGCCAAAGTATGAACAGTTAGTGCGTATACAGTGGTCCCTCGGTTAACGAGCACAATCCGTTCCAGCAGGTTGCTCGTTAACCGAAAAACTCGTTAACCGAAACCATTGTTTCAATGGGTTTTTGGGTAATTGGTTCCAGCTCACCGAAAATTGCCTAAATTCAACAAAAAAAAGGTAGAAAAGTACAATTACTTTGAGGTGTGTATGTAGAAGGCTCCTGGATGATGATGATGATGATGGAAATTAGAATGGGGGTGGAGGAGAAGGGAGAAGAGAAGGCTTTGGGGTGGAAGAGAAGTCACCCCATGGCACCATTTCACCCATGAAATTTTAGTTCTCTTGGTGTAATTCAAGATTATTTTTTTTAAATCAACACTGCACTGCATTATATATTGTCAATATGTAAAATAAATTTCAAAATGACCAATAATTTGCTTGGAAACACAGAAAAAAGGCATTTAGTTGAAGAGTCTCAAGCAAAATGTTACCTCCACTGAAAACAGAGAGAGACTAACGCCTGTCTGGTGTGTTAACAGGATGGATGGCACGCCAGAAACTAGTTTCTTTACCTTCAATTATGTTCAATAATTGTTAAAATGACTAAAAAAAAGTTAATATTAAACTTTTAAAATTATTGAATGGTATAAACTTCTTGATATTTACTAAAATAGTAAGGAATTTAAGCCCTAAAACCAATTATTGTATTGGCGGACTAATACTACAGCTGGTGGACCGCCAAATGCAAGCGAAAACATGTTGAAGTCGGCGCGTAAAAAACTAGTTAATTCTAGGGATTGCTCATTAACCGAAGTTAAGAATCTTATGGAAGATAAATCGTTAACCGAAATCTCGTTAACCGAGGGATCACTGTATGTGAAAACATATCGTCATTTCTCTACATATGAATATGAAAGCAACACTTACTAACTGTTCATATACAGTATGTTTTAAATAATATTTACGAATGTAAAGCAAAAGTTCTACTCACCAATGGTGGTAAAGTCTAAAACATAAGGACAGTCAATGAATATTGTGCGAGTTTTTACTCAGATGACGAAGTCATCAGGTTCAACTCTGGCTGAAGCTGTAGCTTTACATAAAGCTGTTGCTGAAAATGTTACTGAGCCTGAAGTTGATGTTGAAACTGCTTATGATGCTGAATTTGATGGTGTAGCTGAAGTTGATGGTTTAAGCCTTTGAATAATAAAGTTGCCGAAAGAACCATGCACAGCTGCTTTCTTTTCTCATTATACATCTTTATGTAGAGGTCATTTGCATTTATTAAATTTTAATGCTTTGTTCTGTTAATGGATCCACTTCAGAAAATATGTTCATTGCTTGCTCCATATAATATCCACAGACCTATCGCCTTTTTCATATCGTTTTAACACATCTAGTTTCTCGGCTAAGCTTATACACTTTCTATTAGCTTTTGAAACAACACTACCATCACTTGCTCTCTTGCTCATGCTGAATAG